TCCATCTTTGGTAAGGTCATAACACTTCTCTGTATGCATTCTTTGTTGCGAACAAAAATTCTTATTAATTCCTTACTCATTATACCAAAAACAATCAATTTCCATCTATACTATCTTTCACCCATCCTCTAGTAAAAGTATGAAGCACTTTGATATTCGAAACTTTGATTTGTCCAGCTTTTTCATGATCAAATTGGCCGAACTCAATAGATCTCTTTGCAACTCATACCTTTAGTTAATGTTCTTTCACAATGACTTATGAAAATTGTCTTATACTTTACCAAGATCCGATAATATGCCAAGTTATTTGCCACTTTACCAATTCTATGCAAATTCATATATATTTCTATATACTTTGGCTCAAATTTCTTTCTTACCAAAATTCATCTTTTGTCTTATGGGTTACACTTTCAATAACACTTGTGCCTTGTCCGTTGTTTAACTTGCACTACTCAGATCAAATCCATTCATGTATGCTTTTCTTGCTTCGGTCACTAATGTTTCCCAACATAGTGAACTTTCATGGTTCTTTTATTCCAACCTCAAAATGTTGTCATATCAATGCTGGCTTGTATGGTGACTTGTTACATCCTTTTTTGAAATTGAATACGCTTTTTTTCTGCATAAATTCCCCTGTCAAATACTATTTCGCTATTATACCAATGGGTGGAGGTTGTAATCGTCTCCAATGTATTACCAAAGTTCTCCTGTATACCTCCTTCTAGGATTTTGAAAGAAACTAGGAATTTTTATTTGACATGATATTTTCAGGAACTCCATGTAATCTCACAACGAATTTGATGTAAGCCTTTGCAAGTTGCTCCATCTTTGAAGTCTCCTTCATCGGGTTTTAAACATTGCGGATTTAGAAAATCTATCCACCACAATCCGAATAAATTTATCACTTTGAACCCTCAATACACCTTTACAAAATCATTTTTGTAGCTTGTCCTTTCCTGGTTGTATTACGTTTCCTTCCGTTATATTTCCTTTAAACTTCTTACTCTTACAAAGTATACTCAAGCGTTTATCTCCATGAATATTAAAGTGACATATCCTCTTATAAATTTGATCAAATTCACACTCTCTACTTGATTTTTTTTTTCTTCATTACCTCGAATATTTTTGGTCTCATGTTGTCGTTACCCCAACATTTTTTTTAGCTTTCCTTTTTCCAACACTTTCGAGGAGATTAATGTCCTTATTCCCCCTTAACTTTAACATTATTAGCAACGCATTTTCCCAATACATTGCTTCCCTTTCAATGACATTGAATGCCTCTTCCACGGTCCTTTATCAACTCCAATAATTTATTGTGACATTTTTAAATCCTTATGTGAGAGAGTCTATCTCAAACTTTAAACTTTAAAATTCATTCGCAAATAATCATTAATTTATACAAAGTTATTTCACACTGATTACTTTCCATGAACTTCCAATTACTCTTCGCCAGGGCATTCACTGGTTAATAATCCTTTCGAATCTATCAAAATCTTCCACACCGTTGTCCAACTTAAACCTCAACTACAATTGTTTTATCACGGAGTCCATAATTCACCGCTTCTATCCCTGTGACATCAACTTTTCCTCTTATTGCGAGGTTTCCCAAAATGGTCCTTTCTCAATCACAACTCACACTCGAGAAAAACTTGCGTGCATTTTCTTCTCTCGAAGAATCAACACGTTTTATTACAGATGTTCACATCGTTCTTTCCTTTCCATTCGTAGAATTCACAAAAATACTTTCAACGAAAATACTGAATTTCATAAGTCCATGGAAATTTTTTTATAATCCCAAAAGGCAAAAATGTAAACTCGAATCGTCCAAACCTTGTCATAAGCGCCAAATTCTAAATATCCTTTTTCGAATATTTTTACTTAGTAGTTCTATCCTCAAGTCTAACCTCGAAATTATATGTGCTCCTTTCATTTGATCAAACAAATCGTCGCTTTAAGGCAAAGGATAATTATACTTCTTTTGCACATTGATCAATCCCCCATAGGCACTTTACAAACACTTCCATCCCTTTCTTAACAATTACATGCGCTCTCCAGGGTGATGTAACCTTCTTTCAATGACTTCAATAGTATCTTTCAACCCCCTTTAAGCAATGCAACATTAACCCTTTCTCCACACGCAAATATGTTCATATAATACCTCCAACTTCACTTAACCTTTATATCCTTGCTTATATTTCCCATGCTTAAATCTTTCCTCCAATTAAACCCATAATCTTTCTTCTAGCATCCCTTGAATAAATCTCGTGACCCCTAAATAATCTCAACTTCAATCACCTCATATACAATCCTTACTCAAGTTATTTCAACACACCTCAATCAAATTCATAAATCTTGTCATAAACTCTTTCTCCTTTATGACATTTTTATATCCTTAGTTCAATATTCTCGACACTTTCAAGTATACAGCGTCTTCATAATTCAAATTCCTTAAGTTTCAAGAGTTATATAAAACTTATCTTTATTTTTTATCTCACCTTTCATTTAGCTAATAAATGAATTGATTATTTATAATTCAATTCAATCAAACTCCCAAAGACTTTATGTCTTGAAAACCACTCTTAAAGTCATAGTTCGCCATCCTACAACTCATTCCCTTAAGTTTAAAGCAACATCATTTCCTTGAATACCGAGAGGTCTTAACAACTTGGAGTACTTCTCGAAACCAAGTAATCTTTTCATTTCCACTTAATTAAACCTCATTATCTTTTCTTTCTATCTGCATGAAAAACTGGTAAAACTTATTTCGGGTTTGTTATCTCAAACATCTCCAAGTAAGATCGGATGTATTCACAACTTGTTCGTTCCCACTGACATGGTAAAAAAAATCAACTCTCTCCAGTACTTACCATACAAACTTTTATTCACTCTCAAATTCTCAAGACACAAATTGTTTTTAAACAACTTGTATAACTCTTTAACTCAACCGTCAAAACTTCAGGAATTGATCTCCCTTTGGTATATATATAGTTTTCACTTCTTAACACCATCTTGTTTCACCCTTTTCCCACTATGGGATTGTTGGTGGTTATATCCTCCTTGCCTCCTTGGCAATCTGTTAAGCTTGCCTGACTACCTTGTTCAAATAATTCCATTATTAAAATTGCTTCTTGTTACCATACTTTCTTGATGATAAAACTGGTTGTTATATAGGTTGGGTTGAAACACTTAGCTTCCTCCTATTCTAATCAACTAACACCAACCACTAAATTAAACTCAATCAAGAAACAATTATCATTTAATTCGAATTAAGGTTTGAGGTAAAAAAAAAAAATTATGTCCTCATTCCCAATAATTCAAATACATAAAATCTTGATTGATAAACAACCAAAATTCATATACTTAAACAAACAATCATAAATAATAAAAAAAAAATATCCCCACTAACTGCTACTCACAAAAGGAAGAAAAGAAATGAGTAGCACTTGGAAAACAAAATAAATCATAAGGTTGTTGAACAACTCTACAAGATTAGGTGAATAAATTCAAGAATTTTCTCCAAAATGATAGCATTGCTACCCATAATGACTCCTTGAAGTAAAATAATTATCCTCATATCCCAAATGAAAGAATAAATACTCATAACTCCTAAATAACATATGTCAATATTCTCAAGGTTGAACATGTGACAATGTATTTAAGGTCCAACATAACAAGAGTCCTCAATTTTCCAACAAGATCATAACTTCTCAAAACTCCAACCATATATTAAAATATATATGCTCAATTCTCCATCCCAAATTAAATAACTTTAATCATAAGAAATGATAAGTCACTAAGCATAAAATGTCAAACTTCAATTGATTCGCATTGAGTATCCCTCAACTCGTATAATAACTTTCATCATTACTCATCTCTAATCAATTCCTATGCTCATCTCATTTGGGCTCTTGTTCAATTTCGATTCCAATTCAAACTCATACTCAAAGACAAAACATATTCCTCAAAATAGATAATATCCCAAATGATTTCATCCTTAAGCTCCTTAACCATATGCATTAAAATCAATCTCTTTATCCTTATAACTTGGTGTCTCCATACACAAGTGTACAAAACTCAAATTACTCATATTTAATACCTAGAAAACGTATCTTATCAACAAATTATCCCAAAAACAATACTCACATTCATGTGATGAGGTGCATCCAAAATTTCTTCAAAAATACATCTCAAATAAGGCCATTGAAGCGAACCATCCTAACATAAGCAATTGAAATCCCAAAATCCTTAACATTCCTCAAAATTCTCATCATAGAAACTCACAGGGTAGAGGTTTAGGGATCCTACAAGAAAACGGGATTAACTACCAATAGCAAACCCTTCCTATAATCATATAATACAGTTCTTGCAGAAAACTAAGTTCGATGTTCAATCAAACAATCTTGATAGCTCACATATAATGATTCACATATTACATGTTGTCATCAATAAACATTTAGTCATACAACATGCTTGAACACCTCTAAAAAAATACCTATATATATGCACATAGGAAAAAAATTAAATTCAAGCCTATATTCCCTTTCTTCTCCTACCCAAGTTCACCAACATGGTTATAAAGGCTTTTAACACATATTTCTTACCTCGATCCTTACTTTCCTGCAACATGAACAAACTAAAACTATTTTTGACTCCTTTTTTTTGTTTTTTTTTAAAGAAATTCAAAAATAAGCTTTGAAAAAGACTGAAAAATTTTCGGCTTTCTTAAAAAAAAATCGTACATCCTTAATAAAAAAAAATTCGGATGTTCTTCATAAAAAAAAATTTGGTCATTCCAAAAATAAAACAAAAATAAAATTCAAAACAATTTAGTTTAGGAAAAATTCATGGGAATAATCCCACCTTTGGGCCGTTTGTTTTTAATAATCCCACCTTTGGATTATTTTTTAATAATCCGACCTTTACCCCCTATTCTTTTTTAATGGTCCCAACCGGTCATGTAACCTGTTATAACAGGTTACATGACACGTGGCGGCCTATGATTGGTCAAAAAAAAATTTAAAAAAATCAAATTTATTTAAAGAAAAAATAATAATGAAAAAAAATAAATTACAAACCCACCCACCAGTTCAGCCACCACCCTTTCCAGCCGGAAACCACCATCTCCTTCCCCTACCCGACTGAAAACCGCCGAACAACCACCACAGCTCCATCCCCTTCATATGAAACCACCGCAACCCCACTCTCCCTTCACCTGAAACCACCCCCTTTTCCTCTTTCTTCTTCCCTTCTTTAACCCACCATAACTTCCAGCCAATTAACCCACCAGCCACCCACCTACGTCAAAACACAACAACACAAATCAATGTAATAAAACGATACAACAACATCAAAACAAACCCACATTTCACTAAAAAACGAATCTGAAAATCAAAATAAATGAAAAAAAACCTTAGGATCTCTGACATGAGAATTCTTTCAGATCTGAAAAGCAATGGTGGAGCGAAGCTGAGAGATGGTGGCAACATCGTCGAGATTGTAGATATCCATGACAGTAGGAAGTGCTCGGCAGGCCAATTTGAAGAAGTCAAAAACTCTTTTACGAGCTTCTTCGAGATTCGCTGAGTTTGGGGTATCTTTGCTCTCCAAATCGCCGCCATTTTTGGAGCTTGAAAACAACAATGTCGGAGGAGAGAGAAAGAGAGAGAAGAAGAAGAAATGGCTTGAGGAGGTTGCGAGTTACAGCGATCAAACCCTTGCGGAGACCGTCTGGTGGGCTGGTGGTGGGATGGGGGAGGGGAGCTGCGTCAAGGGGAGGAGAGGGAATGGTGGCAGCCTGGCATTGGTGGTGGGGATTATTTTTTTCTGTTTTTTTTTCATTTTTTTTTAAAATTATCAAAATTTAAAAATTAAAAAAAAAAATTTCTTTTTTTAATTTAAAATTTAGACAAATTGCATAGTGACACGTGTATTTAAAACAAAAAAAAAACAAAATTTGACCGGTTTAACCGGTTTCTAGTCAAATGGGACCATTAAAAAAGAATAGGGGGTAAAGGTCGGATTATTAAAAAATAATCCAAAGGTGGGATTATTTAAAACGAACGGCGAAAAGGTGGGATTATTCCCATGAATTTTTCCTTTTGTTTAACGCCGTTTAATTAAATAAGCACTTGACAAGTTTTAAAAACAAAACACTTTAAAATACAATTTTTTTTTTTTGTTTTAGTGGTAATAAAATCTCAACCGGGCTCTAATACCACTTTGTAACACCCTAGAAATTCCTTTATTTTAAAATACCTGTTTTGCCCTGTATAAAACTTCGAATAGGAATATCTAAGACATTACCGCCACCGTGAAAACGGTTAAGGTAAATATCAAAGATACACAGCGGAAGACTAAATTAAAAAACCTTTCCAAAACAAACCAACTTGAAAAGCTAACCAAACGAAAATAAAGTTAAAACCAAAATGAGCGAAGTAAAATGAAAATCAACCTACAACTCGGAACCATTAAAAGCCCTTATTAAAAACCAAACCAAATCCAAACTTAATGTTAGCTTCACATATAAATATTAGCATAAATAATTAAAGTAGAAACATATTGTAACTAATATAAACTAGCATGATTCGCTCTTCACTCGTGCCCCATCATGAATATGCCTCATCACCTGAAAACCTCCTCTCTACTTGTCCCCACTACTCGCCATTAGAAAATGGGTCGTCGTAGGGCCAAAGTAAAGACATGGCCAAACACACAAACACACACAATCAGCAAAGCAGAGTACATAAGCGTAATTAAACACACTAACATGCTTTCACCTATCAACACACACTTACCTCATTGCACCTGTTCACAAACACACCAATCAACACAACAAAATGACTAGACCCTAATTAATTCATTTTGCATTGATTACGCATCGAACGGGTTTCCACCTATTAACCTCCCCCAAATAAATTTGAGGTTAACTAGCACGGGAGCTAACCGTGCCAGCAACAATCCACACAAAGGTGGCGGAATTCCTACGCATAATAAATAATAAAAAGGAATATACAGCGTCCTGTACTCCATTGGAAGTTATGGTTAAATATAAAACCCCATAACCCCCCCCCATTGTTCATACTTAAGGTATATACGTTCCAAGAGTTTTGGTGCGTAATCTCTTTCACTTTACGTTATTTACATATTATTAGACTTGGTGATGACTCTCAAAGTATAATAAATCAATCAACAATAATTATTCAATCAAACAAACATACCAATTTAATTCTTGAATAATTAGTGACCACATATTATTTAATGTTGAACCCTTTTTAATTCTACCTCAGTGACAAAGACACCTTAAACGCATAATGCGCCAAAAATCCTATCCCTCGGTGTTAAAAACACCTTAAGTGCACAAAGGCACCAACATACAATTTATTCCTTGTGTACCTAGACACTTATATAGCTCCTTCCTCATGCTTAAAGCATCAATAAAAATTATTTGAACCATAATAAAATTCTTTTTCAATATTCCAAACATAATTAAACATGTACTTTAATTAATCATGCCTTCTAACATGCCATAAATAAAAATGTGGTTCAAATAAAACATGCCAAAAATACAATTTTCCAATCCATAAACCATCACAAATAATTCATGCTTCACCATTCAATCACAAACACCATAAACTCACAATTTCATACATAAACCTTAGCATGATTCTACTTATAATCAATTACAAACAAACCTAGCATGATTCTACATCACCAAATTATGCTAAGTACGCGTACGTACCTCAAATAAGCTCTTAAAATAACCGAGTACTCTACAACAATTCTCGAACCAAGTCTCCTACATAAAGGGACAATAATACTACTATTATTAACACATTTCAAACTAAACACTTTAAATAACTTATAATAATCTGAAAATTATTTAAAAACCCCTAATTAAACTCCTTTTTAATGGATAATCACACCCTTTTATTAAAATCACAATTATACTACTTTAAATAAAATTCCAATATTTTAAACTAATCAAAAATCCTTTAAAACTTCATCAAAATACATCTTTATACTTAAATTATCCATAGAAACATTAAATTATCTCTTACCCCTTTTAAACTCAAAGATAAAATTTAAAGCATAAAAAAAAACTTCGTTAAAAATCAAAAACCGCCCGAAATTCATATTTATAAGCTGAATTTGGCCACGAGGGAGTGGTTCTTACTACCAAAGGTAGTAAGTCTTTCTTAAAACGTTGTTTACACTCGAAAAACACTACTTTTTTATCAAAATCGGAGGCGTTTAGAACCTGATCGGGATTAAAACGAGATTAATATTAACGAACGGAAATCTAATTATTAAAACATGAATTTGCGAGTTCAAAAATCTGAAATTAAGTTAAACTAATAAGTAGTTGTAATCACCAAAATTTCAAAACATCATTACTATAAAAAGCCCTAAATCAATTATTCATAAAAACCCTAAAAATCAACACTTTAATAATTAAAACCCTAACTTATAATTTTATGAAATCTGAAAATAAAACACTTTATTATTTAAAATTTACAATCTTTAATCATCAAAACATAATTATAATACTAATCAACATACTTTGAATAATTAAAACCAAAACCCATAAATAAAATCATCAAAATAGCTAGAATGAAAAGAGGAGAGAAAAGGGAAGAAGGAGGTGACCCGTAGTGGTGGTCGGCTGGTCGCCGGCGGCTGCTGGGCGGCCGGAGTGGCTGACGGCGGCTGGGGTCGGTGCCGGCAAGGTGGTGGCAACAAGTGGCTGAAACTTGGGTGGGTTTATGTCACCCAAAACCCACGTAAATGCAAGAATAAAAGAAAGAATAAGAAAAGGAAAAAGGAAAAGAAGAAAGAAAGAATAAAAATAAAAAGAAAATAGCTTACCTTGACCATTTGACCTTTTTGGGTGGTAAAATTTTGGGGATTAGTAGAGTATTTATAGTGTAGAGTAGGTTAGGGTAGGTTTGGGCTTCATAAAGATAATGGACTTAAATGATGAAGTAGGTGGCCCAAAAGTAAAAATAAGATGATTGGGTTCAATAAAGATGGGCTACGTTTGGATTGAATACTTATTGACCAAAATATAAATACTTGCTTTATTTATAATTCAATAATTAAAATAGTTTGACCCAAAATATATTTTATAATTAAATAAATAATTTATAAAATACATTAAAAATACGGGGTATTACATTTTATTATAAACTCTATATGCTTTACTATTAGAGGCATATCCTAAGAATACTGCCTCATCACTACATTCATCAAGCTTTCCTAAGTTTCTTTTACCATTGTTATGAACAAAGCATTTACAACCAAAAGATCTAAAGTAAGAAATATTAGGATTTCTCCCTTTGATTAGCTCATAAGGAGTTTTTTTGGTGATGGCTTTAACTGATACTCTATTAAAATTTTGCATGTTGTATTCACTGCTTCTGCCTAGAAGTTCCTAGGCAAATTGCTTGAGATCAGCATTGTTCTAGCCATGTCTTCAAGGCTTCTGTTCTTGCGTTCCACACTCCATTTTGTTGTGGGGTTCTTGGGGCAGAGAAGTTGTGATCCATTCCATGCTTAGTGCAAAATTCATCAAATTTTGAATTTTCAAATTCAGTTCCATGATCTGATCTGAGGTGAATCAGTGGATTACCTGTTCTTCTCTGTTCTTTCTTTACAAAAGCTAAAAATTCATCAAACGTTTCATATTTATTAACAAGAAAGAAAAGCCAAATAAACCTTGAAAAGTCATCAACAATAACCATAACATATCTCTTACCACTTCTGCTTTGGATTCTCATAGGATCACATAGATCCATATGAACAACTTCCAAAGGTATTTTGGTGCTTACCGTTTTCTTAGATTTAAAAGAAACTCGAGTCTGTTTTCCTCTAACACAAGCATCACACACTTTGTCATACAGGAACTTAATGCAAGGAAGTCCTTCCATTAGTTCCTTAGATCTCAATTTATCAAGTAAAGTAAAGCTTGCATGGCCAAATCTCTTGTGCCATAATAGAGTATCATTCTCAATGACACTAAAACAAGCTAAACTGCTATTAGGAACCTCGTTAAGATCCACAACATATGTGTTCTCTTTCCGAGTTCCTTCCAAAATAATGTTCCCAGTGTCATTGTGAATGATTCTACACTTATTGGAAGTAAAGCTTACAGAGTTACCTTTGTCACAAAATTGTGAAATGCTTAACAAGTTGTGCTTGTAGCCCTCGACAAAAAATACAATATCAATTGCATGGGAACTTGACCTTCCTACTTTGCCAATAGAAACTATTTCTCCTGTCATGTTATCACCAAAGGTCATAGTTCCCCCATAGTAGGCGTCCAGTGAGAGAAATCTAGATTTGTCTCCAGTCATGTGCTTAGAACAACCACTGTTGAGGTACCAACTGTTGTTCCCCTCACTGGAACCTGCTTGAGAAATCAAATGTTAGTTTCAGGAACCCAGGTTTCCTTGGGTCCTGTGTAACAGCAGCAGGTTCATCATTCTTCTTGATCCAAATCTATTCTACATGTTTTTCATTTTTCTGTGTACTCTTTTCTTTCTTAGGACACTTAACCTGTTTGTGTCCAGAATTGCCACAGAAATAACAAACAATACTACTAGGCAGGTTAACATACTTATTTTCCTTTTGGAACTTCTTTTTGAAAACCAAACCTACTGTTCTTTTGGTTTGAGCTTTGGTGATCCAATATGGAACTCTGTATTCTACAGGTTGTTTTCCTTTCCTGGATTTCTCAAGTTCCCCCTCAAGTCTTGCCTTATCCGCTTTTATATCTTCCAAATCAGATTTTAGTTTTTCAAAATTCGGATATTGAGCAAGTGGAGGAACTTCAGAATCAGGAGTATCAAGACAGAGTTTCATTAAGGATAGTTCCACATTTAACATTATGTTATCATGTTTCAACCTGTCTACAATTTCTTTCAAATAATTATTATCATCAAATAGACTAAAGAATCTATATTGAATATCAAATTTCATATTATCAACCCACTCACTGTTTTCTTTAAAAGTTACCAAAGCTTCATCACTTTGTTGTTTAG